CACAAGCCTCGCCGGGCGGACCGGGCCGAGTCAAGGACTTCCAGAGCCCAGCCCAGTCAGGGCAAAGCTCGGCGAAGCTTGTGGGCCGGGCCCTGGCCTGTTAAGTATGGTTTTATTATGCTCAGTTTTATTATGTTACAGTTTTATTCTACTCAGTTTTATTAGCGAGTACCGCCCGATTAATATACCGTAAAACCTGTAAAAGAAGGGTCCTCTAACTTGTAGCGTTTAGCCAATTTATCTCGATTCTTGCTGAAGATATGAAAAAGTGATCAACTGATAAATTTTTTACCGTAATAATACAAACATTTTATCAGTTAGCACATTTTCATTATCTCTTACAGGTACCAAGATAATTGAACTCAAATTTGGTAGTGGTCCTTCTATTACAGGTTTTACGGTACCTTTAAACTTTCAGACTTATTGAAAACACTGTAATCAAAATTTCAAACAAAAATTCTTCATGATCTCTGTAATAGTACTAACTATGGAATAATGTGAACCATATTAGAAGGAGAAGGAGAAAGAATATCAGAATACTGTAATTCCTCTAAAAGAACCCCACCCAAACCGGCAACTTTGAGCTCAATTATTTCAATTCATGTGAAAGATATCAAATAGCAAATCATTTATCATAATATCGTCAGTTTTTTATCAGTAGACAAAATTTTGATTTCTTTCACAAGAATTGGGATAAGTGAGCTCAAAGTAGAGGGTTTGGGTTGGGTTTCTATTAGAGGAAATATTGTATTACTTTTGAGAAGCTTTGATTTTTTTCGATTATCGTTTGAAAAAAACTTTTTCAATTTTTTTTCCCTACTCTTGATTCCAATAGTTTCTGCACACAGAATTTGTGTCTCCCGAATAGCTCTTCCTCTTCTTTTTTCGCCAAAATAATCAAAACGTTTTAAATTTTAAATTACAAAATTCTTCATATTCTCTGTGTCTCGTGTTCAGTATGATCTCCCCGCCCCCTGGTTGATTGAATTTTGGGGAAGAACCAAAAACATTTCTCTCTGAAAAAGCTATATTCTTCTTCTGCTTCGTTTTCTTCTAAACGTTTACAGTATCCATCTCTTCTGGTTGAACTATGCCCTCGCAAGAAAAGGAAGAAGACGAAGGTCTTCGGAAAATTGAAGAGTAAGTTCCGAATCCAAGAATGATGTCAAGGAAAAGAAGAGCATCAAAATGGTGTGTATGTATAGTAGGCAATGTGTGATTTAGAACGACTTGTTTTCAAGTATATACGAAATTTAAGGACCCCTGTAAAAAACACTTTCGCAGACACAAGTTCTTCAGTTTCAGATCAATCAATGCGGTTTTGGACCCTTATCAGCAATCACATGTTCCGTTGAAAATCAAGAAAAAGAAGAAGAGGTTTTTACTGTAAGTCATGTTTCTGTAGTGTCGATAAAATTATTATGATTTAGACCCAAATCCAGGGATATAAATTTGAGTAAAGTGAGAGGCAAGCGGATTGTGGAGCTGTTCAGGGCGGAGCCATTTCTTATGGTATGTTGTACCAACTGGATGTTCTTTTGGCACATTCTATAATTCTACTTTTACAGAATAAGAGACATTCAAGAACCAAAGAAGATAACGAAAAGAGGAGTCGTGCCTACGAAGAAATTGCTGCTCAGATGAACAAAGAGTTCAGAAATATGGAAGGATTCAAAGAAATCACTTCTTTTCAAGCTGCAAAACTCGCCGATTACTGGAAAGACCGAATTCCTGAGTGAGTTTGAAAAATTAGTTTGAATAGGAGAGCAGGATATTAGAATCGATTCTTCAGATGAGATTTAAAACTTTCAACTTTAAGTCAATTTATCTATGTCTCTGTCAAAGATAGAAAAAAAAACCAACAATTGAATAAATTTTTCTATAAAGTTACCAACATTTTATCAGTTGACCACTTTTTCATATCTTTGACAAGAACCGTGATAAATTGGCGCAATCTTAGAAGTTAGGAAACTCTCCTATTACAGGTTTTTTTGGGAAATATTTTGGGAAAGCAGTTTCGAACTAAACGAATAGAATGACCCGCCTAACTTTTAACTTTGAACCAGATTATCTTAGTTCCTGTAAGAGATATCAAAAAGTATTCAATTGACGAAACATATTTGATATTATAATAAGCATTTTATCCGTTGACCACTTCTTGATATCGTCAACAGGAAATGAGATATATAGACTCAAAGTTACCGGTTTGGGGGCATTCCATTCAAGGTTTTACGGTCCTAATCTGAGTTTGCATTTTCGACCTTGAGGCTCATAGTTTTCTTTTTTTAAGCAACAATTTTGAACTTCCTAAATATTACTGCAAAGTTTTCTGCTTCATTTCAAAGCTTCAAAAAAATTAGTTGATTATTTTATTTCGGGTAGATATGCAAAACATAAATAATTGTTTAATCCATCCACTTCATGCTCCAATTTTCAGCAACCGTAACTCTGAAGAACCATCTCTGCTGTTGACTGGTCAGTATACGGTATCTCCGTCTCCTCCCATCTTCCCAACACCACCCGACTCACCACGAGACAAACTCGAACAGCTGCAACAAATGACAATTAGGAGGAAACAGACAGCAGAACGTCTCCAGTTCATTGTGAACACAGCAGACATGTTTATGAGCAAGACAGGTCTCGATAAACAACCACAGTGAGGATATGATCCTTGAGATCTTCTTTTAATAAGGAAATTTTAGTGGACGGTCTGCAGAGGTTAACAATATTAGGACGAAGGTGTGGAGGAGAATTCAAGAAGAAACCAACATTCGATTCAATTCGTTGAAACCATACAACTTGGTCCAGGTGAAAAAGGCTGTTTCGAATTATAAACGCCGGAAAGAGTAAGTGGAAATTGGAAAAAAACTGAAACAACTATTTGGTATTCTAGGGAAGCAAAAAATATTATCAGGAACAAAAAGTATATCACGAAGCACGAGTTAGAAGAACCGCAGAATGAAGAGAAGCCTGTGATGACGGCAGATCCTTGGGTAGCTGAGATGGATGTGGACAATACTCCGATTTATGAAGATACGGATGATATTCAAACATTCCAGGATGTCATTAACTATGCCAGTAAGTTTAAAACTTTGTGGGCTCTTTTTTTTGAGTTATTCCAATGAACGAAATCGTTTTTTTCTTGTTTCAGATTCAGTCCTGCAAGATTCTCGATGAGCTCTCTCGATGAGCCCAAATACTGCTTGCTCCAACACATCGACTTCATTTTCTTCCCAGTGCTCACTCATTTCTTTTTCTTTGTTATAATAGAGTATAAATACTGTATACATGAACGAAACTTTTTTAAAAAGTTTTGCTTTTTTTAAATTAAGCTATGAAACTGTGATGAAAGAAAAAACATCCGAAAAAACTTCTGAAATTCAAAAATTCAGAAATTTCGAGATTCTAAAATTCCGAAAATCTTTAAATTTGGAAATTCGAAAATTCTCTAATTCAAAATCTAAGAAACATAAAACTTCCAAAACCCGGGAATTTAGGAAATTCAAAGGTTTTGAAAGTCAGAAAATGAGATGTTCAGAAATTCTGTGAATCATCAGTAATCTCAGATGTTTTTCGAAATTCGGATATCAGTCTCTCTTTTTTTTTTCATAAACTCCAACTCCTGGATTCAAAAATTCTCAAATTCCCTGATCTTCCAACTTTGAAATTCTCAGTTTCTCGATTTTTAAAGTTCGGATTTACTGAATTTCTGAATTCACCAATTTTTGAATTTCTGAGTTCCCGAATTGAAGAGTTTCTTAATTTGTAAATTCCTGTGTTTCCAAAATTTGGGAATTTCCAAATTTTAAGTTTTTTAAGTTTTCAAATTTCAGAAATTAAGAAATTTAAAAAATAAAAAAGTTCAAAAACTCTCACATTCTTAAAATTTGAACTCAGGACGATTCAGACATTACAAATATCAACGAAACCAAACATAAATAAATCACTAATTCAGTAGATCAGAATCTCAGCAATTCAGGTTTTGACAAATTTGTAAGTTGTTCAATTTTCAAAATTTAATGTCCAGAAAGTTCAAGGAACAGAGGAAACGCGCTTTTATTACTAATTGACTTCTAATCAGAAGATCACAGGTTCGAGACCAGCCTGGGGCTTTGTCACCATGTTTCGAGAATTCGCAAAAATTTGCAAACCACCTGAATCAAGTTGACCTAACAAATTTTAGTCATTCTGCCGTTTTTCTCCTCTATGTCTTATTTTCCTTTCCTTATGACTGCGAGGGCTCGCGCTGTTTCGTTGGCATAGTTACGGGGAGAAAATGAGAGAGAACGGAGGGACATGAAAACAAAAATTCGATATTTTGGCAAGCATGGAGGAAAGCAACCAAGACGAGATCATCGGAGTTGTTACTGTTCACAACGGAGAGGATGGTGAAGTAAGTTTTTAGTCTATGATGAGATACAGTAAAGTGTGAAGATTTTAGTTTGTATCATGAAATTCCAGCAAAATGGAATGGAAACGAATGGAGTTGAAGCTGAACCAATCCCAGACAGACCACCTCCAAAACGAGTCGAAATACTCGATTGTAATTCTTTGAATGGTCTAATGTATCATTATTTTGCACAAGGAGATTATATTGAATGTAAATCATTGATTGGAGAAATTCAAAGTAAATATAAGGAGAAAAATGAAGCAGCGTTTCATGTCCGTGGATTGATTGCTAGAAACGAAGGAGAACTGGAAGAAGCTATGGATTGTTTTGAGAAAGCGTACGAACTTTCTGGAAAGAATAAAAAGTTAGGATTCTGAGATACTCTTCAACAACTTCTATCATATTACAGATACTTTTATGAAACTGGAAGATGTAACTTTCTTCTTGGACGTCACCAAATCGCTGTCGAACAACTCCGAAAAGCCAGTGAGGTGATGAAAGATAATCCGAAAGTTTGGTATTGGATGGCCAGAGCCATTTACCATTTGCCGTCAGAAAAAATTCCAGGGAAGACTTTTAATCCGACTGAAACTGCGAGAAACCTTCTTATGGGGTATGAACCTTATTAATGCTCATATATTTTAGACTGATTTCCAGATCAACTGTTGCTAAAGATGCAGAATTGATTACTTTCCTTGGGCGTCTTTGTGAAGAACTTCAGGATACAGAGGGAGCGATTGCAGCATACGAATCAGCAATGAAACTGCAACCAGATAATACAGATGTCATGATTCGTTTGGCATTGGTTTTGTTAAGAATGGGAAAAGAGAAGGAAGGTTTTGAGCAACTTGGTAACTGTTTGGCTTATGACCCATCGAATAGTCAAGCAATTCTGACACTCGGATCCATTATGCAGCAACACTATGATCATGATGTGGCATTGAATAAATACAGGTTTTTTAAACTATTAGAAAGGTTTTTCTAAAGGACAACCTAATTCAGAGTGGCCGCAGATGCTTGTGATTATAATGGATGTCTGTGGAATAATATTGGAATAGGTCTTCTAGCAAGAAACAAATCTGCTGCAGCTCATTCGGCACTCAAGAAAGCTTCTTTCATAAGTCCTCTAGATTATAAGTAAGTACACATTCTGTGATAAAGCGTTTATTTAAAAAAATAAATTTCAGAATCAGTTTTAATTTGGGAGTTCTCCATGATATCATGAAATTACATTGCTCGGCTCTTCATTACATTAAATTATGCACTGAGCTAAAACCGAATAATGCAAAGGCTGTTGGTGCAATGGCTGTGATATTGTCGCATATGAATGATGTTAAGAATGCAAGAGCAGCATACAAGAAGTCAATTGAGTTACAGCCATCTCCATCTATTGTAAACACATTGTTGCTTTCATTCCATGTATTCTGGTTCCAGGTTCTCAATTATGCAATTTTCGAATATCGCACAAAGAATTTTGCGGCTGCATCAACAGCGGTTCAAATCTACAAACAACTCGAGGCATCTGGAATGAAGTGCAGTGCTGTAAGAGTTAGAAGTCAGTTATCTGAAAAAATTCAAATTTTCAGAACCACAAACAGACTGCAAGTCTTCTGGATAGTGTTTTGAAGCAACATGAAGAGACTCCGCCTACAGAAAACTGAACCATGATCACAAATGTTTTGATTTTATTTCTGATTTTCTTTGTGAATAAATGCCTTAGCGGTTAGCACGCCTTCAAAATGCTATATGTTTTTCTGATTTAATTTCCTTCGACTAGCCATGTTTTCGGAAGTTCGGAATATTCCGATTTTGAAAAATTCAGAATTTCGGAATCTTTGGAATTTTAAAAAATTCAAAATTGAAATTTTAAATTCCACTTCACGGTCTCCCACAGAACGTTTCCGAACTGCAAATTAATTATTGATCTACCGAAAAAAAATTTGGCGCGATCACAATTGCAGGCCTAAAGCCGTATTTTCAAGATTTTTTATCTGATTTTGTGAAGATTCTAGATGATTCAAATGATTTTTAAAAAATTAATTAGCGGTTATATAATCCTGTATAGTCCTTTTCCGGAAGAAAATATTCCAAAAATGGCCAATTTTCCAGATTTTTTACAGAAAAAATGTATCTCCTCTTTCAGTTTTCAACATCTCTAGGAGTTTTATCTCAAAAGAACCGCGATTGTTTATTCTTCATTTTGTATGGATGAATTTTTAATGCGTCTGATAAAACTTTTTTTATAATCAAAAAAAATTTGACCAACAGACTTTGAAAACGCACAATAAAACAAAGAACATCAAATGTGATTCCTCTCAAAGCCCACATGTGAACTTTTTGTGTGCGCCTTTGACATACAGTAAACCGAAAACCTCTAAATCCGAAAAAAACTTCGAAAATATTTCGATCGGAATTTCATTAAATTTTTAAACGCAGACTCGGACTGTCGGGTGTGTATCTGTCTCACAACTTAACGAAAAACAGATGAAAAAAAAGATAGGAAAAAAGCTACGGTAGACTCGTAATTTTTTGACGAAAAGACTATGCGCCTTTAACGAATACGGTGGACTCCGCGCCAGCGCCGAACAATAATAATCAACGAAACTGATTTGTTTTTCGTGATAATTTGATCTTTTTCCTTTTCTACAGAAAGTAGTCTTCCGAATCATCAGTACCCGCTCTATGCTTCTTATGTTCTCACTTCAATTCGAGCATTTCACTAAGTTATGCATTTTTCAGGGCAATTCCACACTAACCATGAGTCAGCAGAACGCGCTCAACACATATATGGCCCAGAACAAGCCAATAAACGGGCGAATTTACGAAAGTCCTGCTCTCAGCCAAGCACACAATGAGCCTGCAAATGCGACATTTGGCGGATGCTTCAATTCGTACAACTCCTCGTGGGCTCCTTCAAAAAACAACGGACAGTCGTTCACTCCTTTATTCCAATCAACTCCAAAACAGTATGGAGGTCCATTCAAGGTTTATTTTTGCGATCTTGTGCTCTGAAAAGTATAAAATTTTAGCATTCATCATGGCGCAAAGCTACTCCATCGTACACTCCACGACGCCAAGCCAGCAATCTTGGATCTGTTCGCCTTCGTCTCATCGACCTTGAGCTCAACGATACGACTACTTTTTCTTTGAGCAACTCTCACAATCGTTCTTTAAGAAGCACTCTCCCTGTTTGGGCGATCGATGAGAACGGGGGAGTTTCAGAGAGCGTCACTCTGAAAGACGTTCTCGCCAACAAGGCTCTTTTCGAGTTCGCTACTGACAAAAATGGTTGTCGTTTCCTGCAAGAACAATATCCAGCAGACTCGGACGGAGGAATTCACGACGATATTTTCCGTAGGATGGTAGAAGATCGCAGCTTATTCCTCTCCATGTGTCGTAACATGTTCGGAAACTTCTTTGTCCAGCGAATGGTCGAATGCTCGAATAATGAAGAGCAAGAGATTGTTATGGAACATCTTGTGACCGATATGTACACTCTCTGCTTGGATAAGAGTGCATGCCGTGTGATTCAACTCGCTGTACAGAAGCTGGAGACTCATTTAGCCTCGCGTCTCGCAGCGGAACTCCGTGATGCAGATCTCGTTCGTCTTAGCATCGATCAAAACGGAAATCATGTCATTCAGAAGATTATCAAGACGCTTCCAGTTTCTGCCTGGGATTTCGTTGTCAAATTCTTCTGCAATGACGAACATCTCATTGCTGTTTGCCAAGACAAGTACGGATGCCGAGTTGTTCAATCGACCATTGAGAAATTGTCTGAAGATCCAGAATTGGAATGCTACGGTCAACGTCTTCATCTGCTCCAGAAGTTAATGGTCGGAATAACTCGCAATTGCGGTCAGCTAGCCTCTAATGAATTCGCCAACTACGTTGTTCAACATGTTGTAAACTGTGGTGGTGCAATGGAAACATTCAGAGATATCATCATTGAGCAATGCCTTCTGTACGTTTCTATTGTACTCACACGAACAAAAACAATTATTTCAGACGCAATCTTCTATCGATGTCCCAGGAGAAGTACGCATCTCATGTTGTCGAAGTTGCTTTCCTTCGTGCACCACATCGCTTGGCATTCGAAATGATGGAAGAAATCTTCGAAGGTTACATTCCACACCCAGATACCAACCGCGATGCACTCGACATTTTGCTGTTCCACCAATACGGAAACTATGTCATTCAGCAAATGATCAACATCTGCTGCAATGCCATAATTGGAAGAAGGTGGGGTTCACATATCATTGCTGCTGCTAGAATGTTTGCTTTCAGCGAGCATCATCTTGAGCAGAAAGAGATCGAGCAGTATACCAAATGGCTGGAGCGTATCAAGGAACGGGTATCCCGCAACTCGAACCGTCTAGAACGTTTTTCTTCCGGAAAAAAGATCATCGAGGCTCTTCAAGCATCCTCCATTGGTACACTCATGTCACCACCAGCAGGACAGTATTACTAATTCACCGTTGTTAATGAAACCGGGTCCCTGAAAGCGCGTTCTCCAAAGACTATTATAATCAACTAATCTATTTGCACCCATTATACTCACCTTATATTTGTATTATTATTATTGAATCGATCTCACCAAAAGCCTATTGCATGATTTACATGAATAAATTGTAAGATAATTTGTTTTTTTTCACTGTTTTTTAGCCATTTCAGGTTTATATTGCATCAATCTAGGGAAGTCAAATACTCGTTTGCTCGAAGATCATTCGCTAGAGTCTCATTTGCTAGAGGAGCCGATTTGCTAGAATTATCTTATGATGGAATTTCCCCATTTTCAGAGTCTCATTTACTAGAAGTTCTAGTCTATACAGTATACTACCAGTGATGATTTTGGCAAAATGATTCATTTTCGTCAGCTTTTCGCCAGCTTTTCATCACTTCTTCCGTCCGTCCGTGTCCGTCTAGTCTGGTTCGCCCGTCTGGTTCGTCCGTCAGGTTCGGCCGCCAGGTTAGGCCGTCTGGTTCGTCCGTCAGGGAAAATCTTTGACTCCTTTGATAATGCAAAAAATCGTCAAGTTCTTGGTTTTTTCCTTTTGTCGATTCCAAATTAGACCATATACCCTTCTTTGCCCCCACCCCCGAAGAATAGGCCCAAAAATTTCTAGCAAAGGTGACTCTTTCCTCTCTGGCCTTCGAACAGTAATTTTTATAACCTTAAAAAATGAAGAAGCTTTCATATTGCTGAAAAGTCGGACTAAAACTTGAACAGATATAAATTTACTTCATTCGAATACGGTTCCTAAAAAATTACAAAAGCAAACGTATACATGTCATATATTGCAATTATGTCCAAACACAAACCGAAAAAAAAACAAATGAAGGGCACACAATACTCGTCACTCAAAAAAAACAAACAGCTAAACGAATAATAAGGTAAAACAAAGGAATATACTTATATAGAACATCAAAAGGTTCCAAAAGCATTTTTGTTATGACTAGATTGATCCTGGATCACGAACGGCTGCCAAGTTGAATCGAATTGTTTGTTGCTTGAAATTACGCAGGTTACCAATTTCTCGGAACATTGCTGTGATCAGAGCAGACGATCCGTATGGTTCCGCACTGATGAGAGCTCTGAAACAAAAGAAATTCCTAAAATCACTCAAAAACACTCTAAATACCGAGTTTCAGTGGTAAACTCCTTGAAGTAAAAATAAAGGATATCCGCCAATGCTTCCACGGTTGGTCTCATCAATTCACCCTGAATCCTTCCGAACACAGCTCGAAGTAAAGTGGGTCCGTTCTCTGCAAACACTGTTTTCATTGCAGCGTCATCGTGAGAAGTGGCATAAGTCGAAAGGGCAGCGAGAACCTGAGAAGCACTTCGAACTTCGGTGGGGACGGAAGAGTTGATAATTATCTGAAAATCTCAATTATGTGATTACTGAGCATGTTCAAATTAGTTACTGACAAAACTACAAATTTTGGTAGCTGAGAGGAATGCAAACATTGATGGGTCTTCAAACTTCCGAATCATCTTCCAATTCTTTTTCACGACTTGATGAATCAACTGGAGGTATTCATCTAATTGTGATGATTCCATATGTTGTTCCGCTGTTTTGACCCAATGGGAAAATGCATTCGCCATATCAGCACCAACCAGAGACCCACATTGCTGAAATGAAAAATTAGATGAGATTGAATCACGGCATCACCAAACAAACCAAAACAGTAGACTTGGCAAGACCACAGGCTGCCACAACTGATTCCGAAACGAACAATGCCGTGTTTACCAGAGAGACAACAAATGGAAAGAACGAGGCAATGTAGCGTTCGGGAAGAGATGTGAGTGCCGATCGAACTGCTTTGCAAACTTCTTGAATTAGACTTCCGCTATTCTTTTTATTCAATCCATTTTCATCACCACAGCACAATGCTTCGAAGACTGGAATCGCCTCTTTCAGTAATTGGACAATTGTTGGTTCTTCTTCAGTGGATTCTATTTCTTTTCTACTAGAGAGACTCGCGAACAGCGTGGAAAATATATTAATTTGGAATGCGTATCTCCTATGACGAATCTTCTCGTCGATTCCCGCTTCATTAATGTTTTGGTAACTTAGAATCTGTCCAATTATTTTCTGAAATTACAATAATTCAGAATGAAATCTGGAACGTTTCGGATACCATTGTTTCTGATGGTGGTTTTCTGGATAGAACATATCCGATGCATTTAAGGGCTGCCAGTCGATCGGAATCACTAGCCGATGGAGCATTGAAAAATTCGTAGCATCTTGTAGAAACTTGATCGCCAACAATCTAAATATAAATTTCTTATTTATCACCAGCAAGCTGGTGCGCCTTCGGCGCGATTTAATCTAGTTTGTTACTCCTCATTCTTCTTAAAGTGTCACGTCAATTCATATTTATTTTTCAAGCTTTTCAAAAGATAACAGCCTGACATGGGGACCAACAGACGCCTCTAGCGTTTTATTTATCTTATTGATCATACCAGCAAGCTGGTGCGCCTTCGGCGCGATTCAATCTAGTTTTTTACTGGTTCGTAGCTTCGCTCTTTCCTTCTTCTAAATGGGTCACGTAAACCTATATTTATTTTTCAAGTTTTTCAAAAGTTGACAAACGGACATTAGGACATACAGACGCCTCTAGCGTTTTATATATAAGGAAGATTCTTTTTTTTAAACTTACATCTAAGCTTTCAGATCGATCTTCTGTGAATTTCTGAAGCGTCTCGATAGCTTGCCTGACACTCGGAACATTTGGTGACACATAAGAAAGAATAACTGGAATTAATGCACACTCTAACTCTTTCGCTTGTTCGTGCTCTTGAATTAGATATGATAGCGCATAAAGAACTCCCATCAGGGTGCCTCCACGACGATCGGAATCTAAACCGAGTGTAGGAGAAGACGTCGACGCAGAGAAACTAGAAGATGCACAAAGTTCAAGGCACTTCAAAATTGGAGTGTAGTCTGATTCACCAAGATAATTGGCAACACATTCCCATTGAAATAGACACGCTTCACTTCTGAAATTTATCACTTATCAATATGAAAACACCATGAACCCTCACGTATTCACATCTCCATTATTCGTTGCTTCTTCCAGTTTCTGATTCAAGTAATTGAGTGTGTCTATAGCAGAAAAATTGTAAGAGTCGTAGGATGCGTCGCTTCTCGTCTTCCGATATGCGTCGAATATTTCTCTATCATACAATGACCATGACAACCATATCTCCATCGATGGATACCTCAGTTTCCTAATTGCAACATCCAGAATCTCCGCATAAATTTGGGAAAATTCGTTTCGTAATTGATCGTTGATAGTGCTACCAGAACTTGATGTTTGCATTACCTCACATCTCAGGGAAATAAAATAACTTGAAGGAAGATCGGATACCATTTCATCAAGTGGATACTGTCCTTGTAAATTTGCCAGAACTTGCATTACTCGAGACATCTGGCTGGAAAAGAAAAATTAAATATATACTGATGGTCCCTCCCAGATGCTTTACATCACAAGTTCAGAATTTCCTCCTTGGACAGCACACTCCACTAAAGTAGGTATCGACTTCTCAGCAACAAGACACGTGGCTGCCACTAGAGCTGTGATTTCTTCACTGGTCGCATCCTCGCGAAGTTCGTCTTCAATTTTTTGCGAAACATTCACACAAATGTACTGGCAAATGTTAATGATGAGCATGGAATGACGATGAAATTCATCATTTTCAGCAATTATATCAAGAATGCTTGCTAAAGCAGTGCAGTCCTGAACTACGGCGCCCAGAACATCCGATAGCACTTGTGTCCAAGCATCTAAACAAATTCCTGGAAGTCGGAGCCATTGCTCAACACATTCAACGGCGGCTTGCTTGGTGATCGATGATGTGTCTCCTCCTCGAAGTACGACAGCCAATATTTGAATAATATTCTGAAATCTAATCCATACTGTTAGCACGTTTCAGGTATGTAGTATACCTCGGAGAACTTGTGCAGCTCTGCTTTTAACCTACTACGTTGGGCGAGTGGCATGACGACATGAGCGAATTCTGCAGCCATATCAGAGAGTACTCTGTAAAAAGGAGCAATTTATTTTCACCAAAATCAATGTTACTTTAATAGGATTTCAGGAGTTGTTGCTAGCAATTGCGTGAGATCTTCAACCGGAGTCATCCATACTTCCGGAATACAGTAAAGCGAGAAGAGGGCGAGTGCAGCGGAGAGCTGAATGCAAAATTTGGCTTTTACGTTTCATGGATGTGCTCACTTTATTAAGAATCGATGTCGATTGGACGTAGGCTCCAGATGTGAGACTGTCGATAAGAAACGTTTTAACACTCATTTGCTGGAATAGATGTATTCGTTATTGATTAGTATCATCTAATCTACCAGTGTCTGATTGACAACACATTCTTCGCTTCGAACTTTGATCACATCGTAGAGGGCCACCGCTCCGAAGTATCTGGAGGAAGAACAACAGTTGTGAAAAATATTAATATTTAAGACAGTTTACCTAACATTCGGTGAACATTTTTCCTGATTGATGATTCTCATACATGCACCCACAGTTTGGACACATTCATACTCTAAAGTAATTTTTAAAAACAACAATATGATTTGTAACAACTCAACCGTACCACTCTTGAATCTACATAAAATTTTATCGATATCATGCCTCCTCTGCTCATTAGTGGTTGTATAGAATTCATCAATGGTTGCTATGAGCAGATCGGAATCTATTGCAGCCGAGGCCACATGGGCCATTTGACCAAACTACTGCAATATCCGGAGTTACGAGTGACCACTTTTCAACACAAACATTCTTTTAGGGATAGAGCCCATTACAAAACGAACAAAAACATTTTCATGAAACAATTTTAATCGGGCGTTATAATAACATTTGGTAAATTGATCCGAAAATTATATTTAGCAAGAAAAATCTGGAAGATGAGAAAGAGAACGACAAGTCTTGTGGATGAGATTTTAGAGGAATTCGGGGAGAATGAATACACATAAAATACAGGGAAAACAATCTCATTTATAAATTTAAAATGTCTTGAACAAAATCGAGCGTATGATAAGTCATTGCATTTGTCATGCTGGGTGTTTTCTTAGAACCGTATTTTTCGGTGATATCCTCTTTCAGATTCCTCCTGATTTGTACGGAGCGCTGCGTCGATCTCCTCACAACACAATTGAGCATGGAGCCGAACTGTCTCATCACGATCAGTTTTCCAAAGATTTCGAACTTCGCGGTGCAAATCCAGGAGACTTTCACGAAGAATCTGCAAACTCCCAGTTTTAATGCAAATGAAAAAAAATTAATGCAAATGAAAAACTACTCACTACTAGGATATCCTTTCCAGCTGCTTTGAGACTGTGTCGAATGAGATCCGTTGCGCTACGTCTGACCAGCGGCGAACGATCGATACGAAGAATGTTGGTGACTTTGAGAAGCATTTGGTCCAGCCATTTCTCAACTCCTCTGCCTCGTGTTGCTACGAGAAGATTTCCGAAAGCTCCACAGCTGCTGGCACGTAATATCTCGTCAGAGGCTTCGATTCCAGTCATGAAAGCAGTTGCCAAACGATCAAAGAAGGTGATCGAACTTTCACCGCGACTAATAAGGAGTTTGCCAATAGCTTCTGCAGTTCTACCAATTCGTATCACCAATTTCTCGTCTTTATTTGTTGCGTTAATTAACTCTTCGTAGTACTCGATAAGGCCTTCAAAGAAGTGACGATCATAGAGGGCCATTTCACAGAGACAGTTGATTGCAGACAGAAAGACATACGAGTCGTCATCAATAACCATGTCTGGAAAAATTAGATTAATTCATTCGATAATGCTTTCAGATTTTTTGCAAACCATTTTTGGATTTTTGTTTCAGATTAGCTTTACCTTTGACCGTATCGTATGCACCGTATTCGATGAGTTTCTGACAGTGCCACGTTCTTTGCCGGAATGCTTTGGAGATTTGCATGAGTGCTCCTCCTTTAACAGCCGGCTCATCATCATGGAGTTCTTCAATCCATTCATTGCAAAGATCGATTTGGTTGTATCTTCGACGTTCGTTTCTTTGAGGAACAACTGGAGGTACAATGTCATTGACATCTGAATAATGATTAGATCAGAACCATTCTGTGAAGTAAAATTCCTCACCAATCTTAAGAGTTTTCAGGTATCTTTTAGTCTCGTCTATAGTGTTATTGAAGACTACATCGGATGATGGGAATAGGTCCGATGCTTTAGTGAAGTTGGCGATTGCTTCCAACGCCTTAGTTGCAATTTCTTGCATACGCGAGGCTCCTCGAGTAAGGGAGAAAATCGCAGTGATGAGAGGAATACAAAGCCTCACGGTACTGCGAGTGGACTGAAACAAGATTATGCATCAGAGCGCCATCGAAAACTGTAACTTACATCGAATTCTTTCACCTCGGTTTCCGTCATCTGGAAAACATCCACACTTTGTTTTCGATTCGCCATTCGAACAAACTTCAATGTGGCGTTGTTCAGGATGTTCTGAAATTGACATAAGAATGCGTGAAGATGGGAAGAGACACTATACCTCAGTCATCCTCAGCAATTGAATGCATTCGTCCTGAGCGAAACCTCTTTCGCCTGCAATAGCAATAAGTCTCTCATAACAGCATCCGACGATAAAATGAGAATGAGTCGAAGAAAAAAGTTTGGCCCCATCCAGTTGAACGAATCTGGCCATATCATCCTCTCTCTCCTTTTCCGAAACTTTCAGAAACTCCTCCAACGCTACGTTTATCATTTCCATTATTGTGCGAACACGAGCTGCGGTTAGAACATTATCGATAACGTAGAAAGCTGTGTCAATACGATGACCAACACTTTCATCTGAATCGCTGAATCCATCGACCCAAAGTTCTTCCGACGGTGTCTCTGAAAAATGAAAAATCACAAATATCCGCTAAATCCACCGCTTACCGTTTCCATTGGTTTCTCCAACTTCTTGGATCTTTGAAGACGTTACCGATTTCTTGACCAATCTAACAGCAAGGGACGGAGTGATCACATACTGGTAGATGGTGTATCCTAAGCTACCAACGCTATCCAATATAGCTCTCAGTATATCTTTAATATAAGGAATTTGTTCGGCACATGCGAAGAAGCATGTGGTCAGCTGGCGAATTCGCTTCACGTTATAGGAGTTTTGCATTTGAGATAGGAGTTGCAGATTTCTGATGTCGTTCGTCGAAAACCCTTCAATTTTTTCCGTATGCTTTTGTTCTTTGTTTTGAAGTTTCTTATCAAGAAGCTCCCAGAAATTCAAAATCTTGTCAAAGACCGTTAGATCCGCATTGAGAGAGAAGCGAACATGCACTTCGTTGACATAGCTCACGAAGAGATTCAGAGTATTCTTATCAACTTCCTTCTGACTCCAGATGATCTCAAAGAACTGATTGGATATGTTCTCATGATATTTTCGTGGATGACTGAAAATTTTCGGCACAGCGGCGAGGCACCACGCCACACTTTTCGTCATCGGTAAGTGATCAGTCCAATTCTCTCCGGCTGAAAAAAGAATGAAACTTGATTCAAAGATATTAGAATCCTGGACCCACCACGCTCCTGATAGTATTGCAACATAAGAGTCAATCCGCCTTCAGCCACAAGAATTTTACTCAACGTTCTGCCACAAGCTCCTTTAAGCCACATTGGAGGCTCTGCTGATTTCCCGCCGCGCGACAAAAACATCAAGCTGCCAAACAGCAAGTCAACAGGGCATTTCGAGATGATTTCCTCTAGCTGAGCTTCGTAGTTATTGACTTTGAGTTCATTAAGCTGATATTGGATGGCAATCACATCATCAATAAACTTTTTCATGAACTGTGAAGCGATTGCATCGTTACATTTCAGCAATGCGACAATCACTTTCGCCGCAAAATCGAGCTGAAAATTGTTTTCTTTTTCAAAATATACAGTTGCAGAACGAACTTTTACGGCGCATGTTTCTTTGTTTCCGTCGTAAACTTTCCATGATTTGATGAATGTACTCCTTGCAGAAGCCGGCAAGCAAACTCCTGGCTCCAAGAAAGGGATAACTCCGGTGAGCAAAAAGAACTGGAATGAATCTTTGATAATGGCGATTTCTTGAAGAGAGATCAGTTGATATTCGTCGTCTGTTGTAGCACGCTGCGACTCCAATACTCCAGCAAGCTAAAAACAACGAATATATTTGCTACGGCAACGATTAGATCACCTCTAGATAAAGACCTCCGAGGATTCGCGAGTAATGGGCCCTAGCATCTGCGTTCACAGTTTTGGCACCATCAGATGTCGAAGGAGTCGGATCTTCGATTGTGGGGTCGACGAACTTGTCGAATACCTCCTAAAATTGATAAACTGAAATAGCTACGGGATGCGGATAACTCACTTTCGGACACTGCTTCAAGAGGATTTCGAATGGATCAGATTTCCATGTTTCTGCTGAAAACACAGGACTTCGAACTTTCCTAGCTGAGGGAATCAGATCTCAAAACTGCCATAAGTGGGTTCTTTTTTAGCATTGAATGTGCAGATGTTTAAAACTTGGCAACAAACACTTTTTTAATCTGATTTCCGATGAATGACGAATGGAAAACATACCTGGGGGAGTCACAAGCTGAGTTATTAATTGGATCAGTTCATCTTTGATTAACATTATGCAGATGTGGCTGGAAATCGATAGATAAGCTCGAGACAACAACGACAACTGCTTCAGCGAAATGTTTACTCCGAGAGGAGTACTCGAGCTGGTTGTTAGGCCACGGCCCTCGGGACTTTTTTTTGCAATTGCAAAAATTATCTTTTTCATCAAAAATTATTGTAAAATTACACTAAAACACACTGAAAACAACATTACAGTCAGTTTTGTTATCATATTTTCAGTGGATCTCTTATGAGTTAAATATAATCGAGTTTAACGAATTTGACAGGAGCTAGGTTATGAAATTTTCTTCGTTTAAAATGTAGACACCCATAAACCATAATAAACAACAACACTTTATTGAATCAAACCAAAAATTGCCCAGAACAATTTGAAATTTGTATTCAACTTTGAAAATGGGATGAGAGAGAGAGAGACGACAGAGACGGGGGAGACGAGAAACGTTTCATTTCAGGTTATGAAGAATTCAGTGTCTGAATATGGGTAGAATTCAGTTTCTGAGTAGAATTAAGTTTCTGAATTTGCGAAAAAAAATGTGATTCGGTTTCAAAGATTTGATGATGGAGAAAAAAAAGTATGAATGCGGGGATGTCAGATGTTAAGGAATTCGAAGAATGGAAAAAATTATGCGAGAGAGTTGACCATTTTCTCCTGCTCCTTGGCAATCTCCATCTTGTATCTGATGGTGTTGGCTTCAGCAAGAAGTTGAGCGCAGAGACCGAGGAGACACAATGACGCTAAAAATATTTAAATTTTTTGTTATCTCGAGAATTTTTGAATTCTATTTCCAACCCAGAAACTTACAGATGAAGAGAATGAAGACAAAGAGTTGTCCTTCAACAGCCATGTAGAAGGCGGTCTGGAAACGGAATTGAGCGGCGGTGAGTTCGCTGACGAATGTGATGTTGTTGTTCGCTTCGAATTTCTCCCATCTCATTTCTGGAGCCAATCCAGATGCCATGTAGCTACCAATGAAGGCTGGGACGAGCATCATGAGGACCAGGGATACCATGAAGAAGAACCACTGAAAAATTTAGATTAAGAGATACGGGCTCTAAGTTCAAACTGACCGCGATAGATGCAGCGAGACGACATCCTGGGACAGTTCGGGAGAGACCAGAGAACAGACAAATCAGATGAAGCAGCATGACCATGGTGATGTTGGCTAATGGATGGAGGCCGGTGAGCTGGCTAAACAAATCCGGGCAGTCCGGATTGGTAGTAGCCAACGCATAGACGTCAACGGTGAGCGAGATGAGAAGGACCATCGCGAGGTACGAGCGGAGATTGGCTCTGGTGCGTGGACTACGACGTTGAGAAGTCTTGATCAGGATTCTTCCCTTGACAACACGACCTGGAGAGGCAGCGGCTGGCTGGGCAGCCGTGGTGGCAGTCTCGCGACAAGTCTCCTCCCCGGATGGCTTGGTAGAAGAGATAAGCTTGCAGACGACAGTCATCTATAAGTAAAAAAGAAGTAAAATGCTAGAAAGGTCCGTTATTACTTGAGTACGAAACAAAAAACTGATAAAGAGGAAACTACCGTATTCCCTCTAAAATGAGCCTACCCAAATCATCAACTTTGAGCTCAATTATCTCGATTCCTGTGAAAGCTATTGAAAATTTGTCAACTGATAAAATATTTCTGATATCATTATAAATAATTTTTCAGTTGACAAAATTTTTTTCTTTTTTCCTTTCTCAGGAGCCGAGATAATAGAACTCAAAGTTGATTGTTTGAGTTGGATTTGTTTAGAGGGAATATGGTATACAGTACGGATCAAAATTTCTTTGGGATTTATCAAAATGTTTTTTTGTCAATTTTTCGATCTTGGATGTTGTTAATTTGAAAAAAGTAAAATTTAAGAACGTTTAATAGTTACTGTATCTTCCGGCGATGAGTTAAAATATTAGATCAACTTTTGAGAACGGTTATTAACTTATGGTTATGAACGGAACGAAAGAAAATCCTAGTTTCTATTTCTATGGTCTAGCTGAAAAAAAGAAGAAGGAGAAAAGAAAAAGGAAAATTCGAAGTGGCAGCCGTTGAATGAAAGGGAATCGGTGGAAAGCCTACCCTCTCGGTTTTTCGATTTCGACTCCGCCCAAATATCTGCACTGACGGAAACGCCCACTTTTGAAAAATAGAACTGAAAAGCGAGAGACGATTTAATGAATAGTATGAAGGTGCCGGAGAGTGGGACATAGAAAGAGCATTTCTTCCAGGCACAAGACGAGATAATGCCACGTCATTAAATCGACTGACGAAAAGCCGAAAAATGGAATTGGGGAGTTTGGGCTGACGGAGCTGAGAGGGAGAAGTATTGAAATGGAAGAAAAAGGGATGATCTGTTTAGAATGAGGTTTGGAAGTGGATAGAAGGCTCAACAATTAGAAGCCTGGCATGTTTCACCATCAGAACCAACATTGGAAATACAGTAACCCTATATTTCCCTGCACGTTTGAACTGTCAATTTTGAGCTCAATTATCTCGGTTCCTCCAAGAGATATCAACAATTTGTCAACTGATAAATTGTTTATCGTGATATTATAAATATTTTATCAGTTGACAAAATTTTGAGATCTCTCACAGGAACCGAGATAATAGCGCTCAAAGTTGACTATCTGGGTGGGCTTCTATTAGAGGTAATACTGTAATTAATAGTAAACCTGTGAGTTTTCCTAAGTTAAAGCCCACAAATATTCAGATTGAAAGACAGAAAAAAACACCAGAAGTGTCATATAAGACAAGAAGATTTTGATTGTAGATAGAAAATCGTAAATCTTCGTTTCCCCCACCGAACCTCTTTCCCGTTTTCATTTCCTTTCCTTTTTGCTCTTTCGTTCATTTGAAAAACGAGTGGGTGCCACATTAAAATCGTACAACCAATTCCATTTACACCACTCAAATCCTTTCTTTCTCCCTTTTTCGAATTTCGACTGACAAAAACCTTCGGACGGAATGAGCAATAAAGTTCAAGGCTTTTAGAGAAATGTCATGTGTATAGGGAATGGGTTACTGTAATTGGATGGGATAGGGGGAGAAGAATAAAACGAAAAACATGATGATGATAAAATAGTGGGGCAACAGATGGTCGTCTCAAAAACGTACGATGAAAAAAAAATACGAAGGGTCAACAACTGAAGAACAGCTGTGGTTACTGTAGTTTTTGAAATGTCATTTTTAGAGAGAGTAGGACAAGAAGGGGTAAGAAGAGGGACCGTCGATGTTAGGAAAACATAGATGTTTCATTGGAATGCAAAGGAAATTAATATATCTGTCTTGCTGTATGTCTTGCTTCATTCTTATTCAAACAGAAATTAGGGAGAATGTGTTTTGATCATTATTCTGATACAAAAAAATGGACTTTAGGAAGAGAAACGCCGGTGGCCGTGGCCTAAGGTTCCAAACGATAACTACCGTAACCTAAAAATATTAGTATTTTCCGAATTTACTTTCTTGTTATTTCCACTGCTTTTGGACGAGTTTTCTGTTATTTTTTCTCGAAAAGAAAACGCATAAAAACCGAGAAAATAAAATTGAAAAATGACTATTTTTTAAGGTTACGGTAGTTGTAGTTGTGGGACCTTCGGCCACGGCCACTGGCGTTTCTCTTCCACGGCTCCGGTTATTTTTTACCAGATTGAGTCATGATTCTTTCAATGAGGTTATGGTAACCCAAACGAGCGAGATTGAAGAGTCATAAAAAGTTTTCCCATAACTTTATATGAGCCGTATATAATTGAAGTCTATTTTTTGATCCATTTTCCTTTTTTTACGACATCTATATAATTGTGGGAACCCACTTGGGTTCAAGCGAGGGGGTCAGAAAGCGCGCCCCAGTAAATTTAGGAAAAATCCTAATTCGCTGCCGAATTTCGTTGGCTGAGTTTCACAGTTTGAAATGAAGAGCGAAAAAGCGCGCCTTGCAACCAGTTGATTTTGAAGAAATAGATCATGATTTAGATCAAACCCGCGTCCACTTGGGTTCAGGCGAGGGGGTCAGAAAAAGCGCCCCAGCAAATTCGTAGGCCAGAAGAAATTTCATAATTTTAAAATGAACGCGGGTTTGAACTAGATCATGATATATTTCTTAAAAATCAACGGGTTGCAACGCGCGCATTCTCGCTCATCATTTCAAACTGTGATACTCAGCCAACGAAATTCGGCAGCGA